TGAAGGTCTAATTTGAATGTATTAAAATAAATATATCGATCGCCGCAATAGTATATTTGTTTGATGGTTCGAACCCTGTCGACTCCTATTGATCCGCATATAATGATCAAGTTTGAATTTAAATTCACTTATTGACCAACGCAGCATCCCTAGACGTCACGTGTGTACCAATAACATGCTCGCCGGGGCCCATACGGGTGTTTTGGGGTATTTATAATTATTTATTGAATCTTGTCGACTCCTATTTATCAGCTTAGAAGGATCGGGTTCAAACTTATTGACTCGCGCAGCATCCCTAGATGTCACATGTATTCCCACAACATGCTCGCCGAGGCCCATACGAGTTTTGTGATTACATTTACCCCTTGTGTACCTATATATATACAAACTACGGTGCAGGTACGGGGGTACTTTGAAACATTTGTAAACGTCTTCTGCCCGCTTGCATGGATGTTGCAGATCTGGTGGCATTTTGTTGCAACTTATAAATTGAGTTGTTTGCTGCTTTATACATGTAGACTGTCATGTACTACTTGTATGATTTATGCAGGTAGATTGTAGTGCACTAACGAATCTCCTGCTTTGATTGTATAACAAGTCTCCTTCAACAGCTCGTAGGGGTTTGCATTTGTTGTAGTCGTTTTGTATGTTGTTCGTAGATGACATTTTATATTTGTAGCGGGTTTTCTTCAAGAGCATGTGGATGACACATTATGTGTACGATGAGTTTCCTACAACAACTCATAGAAGCTTGCTTTTGTTGTACTCTTTTGGCATTCTGCTTATGGACAACATTTAGTGTGTATGTCGAGTCTCTTACAAGGACCTGTGGATACTTGCATTTCTATCTTGATGCTGGTCATGGAGCATTGCTACATTCATCACATCTTGGTCTCTTGTTATAGGAGGCATGTGTATTCATCTCCTTTGTTTCTTGAAAGATGCGTTGTTTTTGACTTCATGTTAACATAAACCATAAGATGTGGCATTTAGTGACTTGCACGAATCTTCTAGAACTACCACTTTCTCTCTAAACTCCTCAAGCTCCATTTTTGCATTAGATAAAGAGTTCTCTAAGGTTTTGTTTCATGAGTTGCAATTAAGCTGCACATCTTCTTCAACTTCATCAATTGATATGCATATGCAAGCCATATTGATGTCTTGCTCATCATTGATCCTTCATCTTGGCTTAAGTGGGTTTGAGTTGGGCAACTTGACTTGGTATGCACTCTTCGAACATTTCTTCTTTGTGATGCTTACCTCTACTATATATCGATCACTTTTATTTGAGAGGATCAATGTATTTCATCTGACATTGAGTTGCTATTCACCGCATAAATATCATTGTGTTTGTTGCTTTTGAATGAGATATAGGGAATTCATTCACCATTGATCATTATTTGTAGTTGCTATTGACATGCCCGTTGCTTTTGCTCATAAACGATGCACCTATCGTTCGTTGTATTAAACAATTCTTCTGTTTGTTCATTAGCATTTGTATTTTGGTTGACATAATACGCCTTGAAATTTATTAAAAACTTTATTTCATAGATTGAAATCATGTCATATTGGAAACTCATTCTAATTGCACTCAAATTAGAAGTTCATCATCTTGCATGTATTGAAAATTTAATTCCACTTGCTTGCTTGTATGATGATATCGATCATAAATGTATCATTGCATCTATCACATGTCCTTGCTTGTATGATTAATTTGTTGCTTTGCAAAGTTACATGCCATTCATTTGATTTTCAGATTATAGCTTAGTTCATTATCATTTTCTCCATATGCAAGCTCAACCCACCAGTGTTTAGCTCGAGTCCAGAGCACAAGTTCAAGTCCAAGTTAAGACTTCTTGCACCAAGTTCATTTGAGTTCAAGAAATGGTTCCCTGTAATCTGAATCTTGTTGTTATAGTCTCAAATCCATGTCCATATTCAAGTTCACTTTTGTTTATGTTCAAAATCTTGTTCATGTTTGATTTAGGTTCAATTTTATATCCAATCCGTTGTCCAAATTTTGTTCATTTAATGCTCAAATCAAATCCAAAAGTCCCTTGTAACTTCTCTAAGTCCTTGTTCGTTTCAGGCAAAATTTCGATAGCCTCCCGTCTTCTCCTCCTTTTAGGAGAAAAATCAAGAGGCAACCTTCCCCTCGTCTATGCTTGAGCGCTTTAGGTAGGTGTCAAATGACACCGCAGTTGTTTTTTTTTTTTTTAATCCCCGCCCTCTACATGAGTGTTTAAGGGTTTTTAGATACTTGTTTAAAATAGCACAGTTTCTTTCCCCCCTCTACACTATGTGAGCGTTTGGAGGTACTTATCTTTTTGGTCCCCCTCGTGCTACATGAGCACTCCGGGGATTACCCGCCTCGTTGCGAACATCGCATCGGCTTCCCTCCCTACTATGCTACGTGAGCGTGTAGGGGGTTTGTCGTCTCGTCGCATGCCTTGAGAGCAGAATTTTTTAGTTAAAGAATTTTATACCTTCGCGTAGGGGTGGCGGTAGCACGTGGATCAAGGCAATGAAAGTGTACAAAATAATACTTCTTTTTTTTTTAGCACTAATAATATCATTAACATAATGAGAATATTAATAATATTAATAATTATAGTAATATTATTATTATTAACAATAATGCCAATATTACTGTTAATAATAGTGATATTACAATTAATATTAATATTAATAACATTACTAATATTTTAGATAATAATAAGAATAGCTTAAGAAAGGAATCACCTCTAAGCCTCTGTTGGCTTGATTAGAGGTGTTCATGTATATGAGGTAGATCGGGTAAGGCTGAACGGAGAGGGATCAGGCCTAGTAGTACTGCGTGGGTTTGGCTTACGGGAAAGAGGTTGACGGGTTGACCTACTAGGTTCACAGCTTAAAGAAAGTGGTGAAGGCTTGGTGTTAGGATTGGAGTTTGAAGGTTGTGGTTGCTGAGTTCGGTAGAGGTAGAGATGGAGGGTGAGAGAGATCGGGGAAGGTGGAGTTCGACTCACTGGCTTCGGTCGATCTTGGAGATGGCTTCACACAAGCAATGGGGTGAAGATGATGCTTGCGATCAGGGCTTGTTCCCAGCCATTGGAAGTCAGGAGGCCCGGTCTTACGAGAAGACCTAGCTTATCGAGGGGATTCGGCTTCGATTTGCGACAGATGGGAAGAGTCAAGCGGCTCGATCAGGTAAGAAAGGAAGAAGAGGCTTGAGGTGTTGGCTTTGAAAGATCTGGAGGAGACGTGAGGTTGATTTTCTCAGCTGTGGTTTGAGATCAGATGGGATCGCTGGAGGGAGATCAGGTAGAGGAGTCGTGGGGCTTGCAAAGGCTCGGAGAATGAAAAACCAGCGAAACGAAGGGCCTCGTCTTCATTTTATCCATGCGAATGAAGGCACGATCGAGGTTGGCTTCGCGAAATTCACGGGAAGAGATCAATTTAGCGCCGGATTCAGCGAGATTTGAGCAAGATTTCGGCAGGGTTCGTGGATCCGACGGGTACAAGGTATGCATGTGGGATTTGTACCTTCATCCCCTCTTGTTCTTTATACAGAGGTTAATAACTATGCCACATACAAATGATTCATGCATGCAAGTCAACAATATGTAAATATATTATGTATATGTATTAGCATGCAAATACACTACGTATATACATTATGCAACATGCAATTGCAGCACGTATATACTCTATCTAATATGCAAAAAACATTAGATAAGTACATCATCAAACATGCAAATACACTATACAAAATACATACAACATTCAAAAAAATTATGCGTATATTCTAGGAATTGTACAAGTACACCATTATCATACAAATGTATCACACGCATCATACGATCTTGTCTATGAATTATGCAAAATGCGCTAAAAAGCATGCATCTGCATGCGCCACGACAAACGCAATAAACATTGGCGTTTGAGGATGTTGTGTGCATAAAAATAATAATAAAAGAGTTTTCAAGCGTGTAAGCATACATCATGCAAGTACACTAAAATGAGTACAACAACAACAACAACATCATCATCAAACCCTTATCCCACTATATGGGGTTGGCTACATGAATCTTTTTTCTCCATTGTGTCCTATTAAGAGTAAAATTCTAATTTAAATCAAATAAAGAAATGTCCTTTCTAATATTTTATAAATAAGTCTTTTTAGATCTACCTCTATCTTTCTTAACATAAGTCAAATCTAATACATCAACTTTCCTAAAAGATTCATCGGAAGGCCGTTGTTTTATATAACCAAGTACACTGAAAGGAGTATTAAAAAAAATCAGTCCTCTCAAAAACTAATACAAAATAGTAGAGAAGATCTCATCATTATTGGAGTAACCTTTCTAACAAGAAAACAAAATAAAAAAGGAGTTACGTCTCACCAAGAGTTCATACAATAAAGCAATTCTAGATTTATAGAGAAAACCCAAAAGAGATGGGAGTAATAAAAGTTCCTCCTGACTGTAGAATTGCAGTCCCAATCCCTCATATGTGCTCAATATTGCGAATCACTATTTTGTCTCTAACACACCTTTTCAGATTCGTATCCCTCGTGAGCAAGAGATCGCAACATAGAGAGGTCATCTGATACACATATGTAAGAATAGGAGTATGGTTTATGTCTTAGGAAGGTAACTAAAATATTACTTTTGGGATTGATATAATCCAACAGTCATAGTTTACTAGATCATGCATCATGTCTACCAAGAAGCTACCCATGTAAGTTTTATCATAGATGCATATTAGTTTAAATGAAAGCTATATTTGGTGGGCTTGTGCTATATTTTTTCGAAACAAAGTCACCACTATTCCAACAAAGATGGATGAAAATGTTCTGTGCAATGTGTTGCCCATGGCTGAGACAATCGTGCATTAGGACACTTTCCACCACACGTTTTGCATAAATGAATGTTATGAATATCAGGTTTAAGAAATACAACATAACCCAAAAACATTACGAAACAAAGCCCAAGCTACATTGAAAGGAAGAAACATACTTTTAAATAGATGTCAATTGCACGATAAAGACCATCATCGGTTGTCCTAGCATATCCTGGTAAGGTGCCTGCAATAGCAATAAATTTGGCAAGCTTGAGGTTTGAATCTGGAGCAATCTCAGCAAGATAATTGTCCAGCAATTTCGCAACTTTGACCATCGCAGTTTGAGAGGGAGTGTTAAGACATTCAGAATCATAACTAGATCCATCATCATCACTACCTTCCTGCTGTGAGAAAATCACAAGAATCCTATAAATAGTTTCAATATCAAATAATGTGTCTCCAGCATTTTGACAAGAAGGTATCAATATATCATCAAGGGCTGCCAACTCCAGCTGGGATCCAATTCTTCTCTCAAGATTTAGCCTACAGGACATCATACAGTCAAGCATCATTGCTGACCTTAAGAGTCCAAAAAGAAAACCAATTGGAACAGAATGTTTTTCGACAGGCAAAAGGCTAGCAATGCATTCAACCACCAACCTTCTTTCACAGGTAAGAGATCCATTAACCAACTCAAGTCTTGGATGACTGGCTATGTTCCATATACTTGGTACCTTTTTGAAATTGTTCTCTGCAAAATGGACAAGTGATGACCCAATACTCTCCGGTCGGACTCCTCGACATTTCATAGCTTCTATGACCCTCTGATACAAATCAACGCGAAGAATAGAGAGATTTTCAATCCACCAGTCTCCATTGCTCTTTGCATGTTTGTTCACGTGTAGCCTACCTGAAGTACTATATTCTAAGCGTGTAAAACTTGAGGCTATCTGGTCGGCACATGCCTTTGAAGCAATTGCCTCAACACACCTGCTAACAATCTTCAGTTTATCAGCAAGAGGAAGCAAGCTCTCGCATTGCTGCAAAACTTTAACACACATTTCAAGGTTTTTGCAGACAACACCATCAAGGTAAGCTTCTGAGCGGGAAGCCAGATTTTCAGCAGCATATTGATCAGTCATCTCAAGGTACTCAGACACACACAATAGTTGAGCAACATTTTCAGGTGTGATCTCAAAGTGCACACCATAGCAAAATTTAGCAACAAGTTCAAATGCATCAGAACCGCCTGGCAAATTAAGCAAACCCACCCTTGAGATATCCACATCCTTGTGTTCTGCCATCAACTTTCGGATTTGGCCACTTTGAGAAACAAGAGGAAACTGCAAGATACCAAAATACAAGTGTTAGTGTTCTAAGACGTCCTTTTCCTACAACACATGGTAGTCATCTCACATCTTTGAAAGAATACGATCCACATTTAATCTCAATCATGAAGTCAAATAAACAAACATTATTCCTTACTCAAACTATGACATTACGATCAAAATCTAGTAGATAATTTTACCACTCTGGTAACTTATCATTTTTACAATCATTTTTAATCTATTTACAAAATTATAATTGGAATTGGCGCAAAATCCAATATGAATATCACAGTTAATAAATGATTATTGATAAAAAAGAAATTATGATACATGCTGAATGTAGAAAATATGTTAGCTGGTGTAGCAATGGATCTAAGCAACGCATTTAGAGAAGAGAAAACTATGTAAGCATACAGATGCACAACATATTACAATTCACATACACAATGCATCACATGATTTTGAAAAAGACATGGTTCACAATGAGATGATATTTGTTAACACAATTACCAAATTCCCATAGTATAGAACAAAAACAACAAGCTTTTATCCCAATACGTGGAGATGAATCCTTTTTCTCCACTGTGTCCTATTAAGAGTTAAATTCTCATTTAAATTTAATAAGAAAATGTCATTTTTAACGCTTTCTAACAAAGTCTTTTTAGGTTTACCTTTACCTTTCTTAACATATACCCAATTTTACATCTAATCTCCTAACAGGGTAAGGCCAATATAACTGCACTTTAGCTGCCCTGCGCTTTTGCTGTCCTTTAGCTGCTCTTTTGCTGCCATTTAGCTGCCCTTTTGTTGCCCTTTAACTGCCCTTTAGTTCGGCTTTAGCTGAGCTTTAGTTGCACTTTAGCTGCGCTTTAGTTGCACTTTAGCTGCGCTTTAATTCCACTTTAACTGAGTTGCACTTTAGTTGTGCTTTAGTTATACTTTTGCTGAGTTGAACTTTAGTTGTGCTTTAGTTATACTTTTGCTTAGTTGCACTTTAATTGTGCTTTAGTTTCTGTTGTTGTATGGTGCATAGTTCTGCATATATATTAGCAAAGGGCTTATATTTAACAATTTCTTAAGCTTATAAGCAATTTTAAAATGTGGAAATTAGAATTGTTGGAGGTGTAAATCATTATCCTTTCAATCAACTACAGATTAATCTTCTTAAGAAATGAACCAAATAGGTAAACAATGAAAATTCTCAATTACTTGGTCCACATAATAATTTTATTCAGGTTTCGCATGTACTCCGATGAGATATGAGAATACTTTGTGGATTTTCTACAAGTACTCAAACACCTCAATGATGATCGTGTTGATAGAAAATTTCAACCAATGCGGAGCCCCAATAGAAATACAAATATTTAAAGTGACTTTGACGTCATCTAGATAATAGCAGTGTTGACAGAAAATCTCAACAGGAGTACCTGGCCTTTCAAAATACTCAAAAACCAATCCAAAATACAAATATATTTAAAGTAAAATAGTTACCTCAATGATGGTCTCGTTAAATGTAAATCTCAATCGGAGAGGTCTGTAAAACCCGAAATCGACGATCTTAAGCGTGCACGCATCTCGATGCATCGCGATGAAATTTAAGTGGAATTTTCAAAGTCATCGGATTTCAACGAAATAAATTTTATAAAATTCTGCGTAAAATTTCGAACAAATTGATATAAATAACCTATATTCAATTTTGCTTAAATTGAAAGTTAAAAATATTATAAGTTTGAGTATACCTAAAATACCCTTAATGAAATTAAAGCGAAATAATGCATGCAAGGGGTATTTTGGACATTTGGAATATCTCTAATTACTCATTTCCTTAAGGGACCGAAACAATTCGTTCCCATCTCATTTCTTACGGCCGAAACAAAGACAAAGGGAGAAGGGGACGGGAGAGACGTCAAGGGGCGACGGCTCCGGCGGCTTTTCCGGCGAAGGGATTTGGGGAAAAACGAAGAAGAAGGCTAAGGGAAGACTAAGGTGAGTCTCTAAGTAAGAAATTTCTTCTTTTTCTCTAGATTTTTGGAAAAGAAAAATCTAGGGTTTATGGAAAACTTCAAATTTCCTTAGGAGATTGATGGGGAAGATTTACGTGATGATTTTAAACATAAAATTTTGTTTTTCCTCAAAATATTTTATGGTTTCAAAAATTATGGTTTTTCTTATTTTCAATTTTTTTAAAAATTTCTTAACAAAAGTTGTTTCTAATGATCTTGAGAAGATTTGGAAACGATAAAATTGAGGATTTTAACACATTTTAATTTTTCTATTTTTTATATTAAAATAATCCAAAAATTAAGTTAACCTAAATATTACTTAGGTTTATATGAAGGTTTTTTATGGTTATTTGATGAAATTATGATTTCCAAAAATTAGGGTTAATGATAAATCCAAAAATTATTAAGCACTAATTATTAAATTAATAATGGGAAAATTTTAAAATGCATTTGGAAGAGAATTAGGGGATTTTAGGTTTCCTAAAAATTGGATTTTTTATAAATTCGAAAATAGAATATTAATTAACATAATTATTAAAAATATTTTATGATTTATGCTTAGTCTGTTTGTAATTATCCTTAGGAGTGGATTAAGGGGACGACACGTGTCTGAGCGATGTCGTACGTCGTAAAGGTTGCTTTGTAATTGTGAGGTAGGTATTGGCATTTAAATTAAGTTCATGAATTTAAATTAAGTTAATGTTACACTTTCAAATGTTATGACTATTAATGAAATTCACATGTTAATGTTTATGAGTTTCTCTGATTGCTTCATTTTTTTATATGTTAAGTTTAAACTCATGTCATTGTGTTTATTTTTTTTAAGAATGTTAATCTTGTAAAACAACACTTAAGGCATAATTGATATCAAAATAAACATGAGGACTTTAGAAGAACATATGATTTTCTGAAAAATTTAGTCTCTATGATGTATATATATATATATATATATATATATATATTATGAATTGCATGTGCATGATGATCCGGAGTACGAAATGGTAAAGAGATTCTTCGGAGCCAATGGTAAAGGATTTCTACGGAGCCAATGGTAAAGAGGTTCTTTTGAGCTAAATGGTAAATGAATGGTCAAAAACTTGATTATGTATCTGATCAATACAAAACTCTAGTACTTCCGGGACGGGTGCTTATTGTATATTATGATTATGTATTTTATGCATTTAATGAAAGATTTTAAAGAAAAGAAAGTTTATGTAAAAGAAAGGAAAAAGTTGAAGGGAAAAATTCAAGAAAACTGATTATGAAAATGTCTTATAATTTATGCCTATCATATGTTTATTATGATCTTTTATTATTTTAATTTCATACTTAATGACCTTTTTTAAATTATTTCATGAATTTAAAATAAATGCTTATTACTTGATGAGCGTTTGCTCAATCTATTTTTTGGAATATTTTTCAAGAAAAACTAATAGGAAGTGATGGCAAAACAGTAGTTTACCTACCATCGTAGAGGACCACAGGATGTCAGGTTTTATTTTTATGTTATGAATTGATTATGTTGGTGTATTGTGGAGTCAGTTGATGTATTGTGTTTATGTTTCAAGTGATTGTATGTTTTGATGAATTTGTTGGAAAATATTCAGTTTGGATGTTTAGTGGCTCTTTCTTACGTTGTATGGATGATATTTATGTTTTTTATAAAATGAAACTTCTATTATTTTAATGTTATATGTGTTTTCTGTAAAACTGTCTGTTCCCGCCCCATTAAATTCGGACTAGCCAGGTCGGATTGTGATAAGGTCAACTTACAAAGCCTATTAAAATTACACCATGATGATGGCGGTGTTGATAATGAATCTCAACTAAAGGGGATCCCATATTTTTCAAATGCTTTCTAAATTTTCATGAAAATATAAAAAGCATTTAAAAGTGTTCAAATACCTCGATGATGGCTTCGTTGAATGTAAATATCAACCAGATGAGACAATTCTCAAAGCCTATTAAAATTTAAAATATAATATCTATCACATTTTAAGCATTTAAATAGAAATTTAATCACTAAAACCTTAATACTAAAATCCGTCCATACTTCACAATAGTTTGACAAGGATGATAAGCTGAAGAATAACATCAGCTCAAAAAAGAGCACATGTCTTGTAGAATGCATTACTACAATTCATTCTCAGCTAGCAGAGGCATGGCACGTGCTCTCTGACCGGGTGATTTGTTCCAAAATGACACTATTATATTATGATTAAAGGCAAAACTCATATATTCTCTAATGATTATAAGCCTCATTGAGTAATGAATTATAGGGTACACTTTATAAGATATAAAGCCCTATGTTAATTAAGGTTGACTTAAATTAATCACCTTTAGATAAACTTCAACCTCAGGTCTAGAAGGTATTTTTGGATGAAGCAACCCATAACTACTGACCACGTTCCTTCTGTCAGGTTGGATCGACTATCTCCTCTGACTAAGTAGACTAGGTTTCATGACAGTCTGGGACGACGAAACATAGAATCTAAATTAGGCCCGTCATCATTCCCCCATCATCCGCTTTAAATATATGTGATAAATTTCAAATCATAAACTCCAAAATTCAAAACCAAATCCAAACCCTAAAATTGCTACAATTATACATTAGCCAATTATTGCGACCTATTTACCAAATAGCCTTAATCGAAAGTTCTCTTTTGTTATCGGGAGAGGTATTTAACCAAAGGGGCTTGCGCCTATGGGAAACCAGAACTCATATGATAAAGTACTCGCAAAAATGAGGGCGAAATCTCTCTGTAGTGACTTATTTAAATCTAATTTGCCTTCTAAAAATTGACCCATAACCTAAAACTGTTAAAGCTCTCCCCATCAACAAAAATGAAACGGAGAGGTCAAGGCGCAAATTTTCAAACCCCACAATGCAAACTTGAAGAAAGAGAGCTTAGAAATTGTATATCAAATATTATTATAATTTATGATCCAGATTTTTAGTGTTTTTACAATTTGAGCATAAAATTGTATGTTTGGTTATGCTTCTTTCTTTAAGCCTTATTTTTTGTGTATGTTTGTGATGTGAAAAGCACATAGCAAGTGGGTGTTGTTAATCAAAACAATCTAAAAAATGCAACACACTAAAAAATTTGAGCTTCAATTATATTGACGTAACTATTTAAATGCATATCTTCTTCTCCAACATAAGCCTAATCAAAATATTATGAGAAAGTGATTAATTGAATAATTTCTTTAACCCTTTTTCTTTCTTCTATAAGAGAAATTTATTATAATGAAAAGATTGAAGATAGATGAGTATTTCTCGTATAACAGTCCTGTGCAACATGATGAATCTCTCACGAGTTTAGGGGTATCTATCTAACACTGGCAGTTGACTAGAAAACGGGAAGGAAAAATTACCTTGTGTAATGAGAAGCATGCCCCATTCACATCAATTGTGATGTCGCTGGGAACATCCAAGAATATCCTGTGAGAAGCTCTGGACGTCAGCAATGTAAAAAAATCAATAAAATTAATATATAATTAAGCATTTACTTGAAGACAAGACACATTGTGTAATATAAGCAACAGCAATGCTGTATTAGTTCATAAACAAAAATCTTATTCTTCTCAAACAATAACAGAAAAAACAAATATGAGTTCTGTGACAACATAATCATATATCTATTAGTTTTTTTGGAGCAGCATTTTCATATCTTTGCTTGATAGAGCGTTGTGATATTTTTGTTTAGCTACAACTTTTTTATTACTTAATTTCTCAAATGAGCCGCAACTTTTTACAACAAGATTTTCTAGTATATGGTAATTGGAAGAAAACTTTTGTCCATTTTTTTCAAAAGAAAAAAAAAATTCTAATATTTTCAACAGCTTTTGAAAAAAAAATAAAACTTATGACAACTTCAAAACTATTTTTACATGTAGCTACAATTGCCAAAAATAGACCCTACATAGAGGTGTGTTTGGGCTGACTATAGCTATTTGTGAGAGCAGTTATAGTCACGTCTTAAGAAAATAGATTTTCTAAAAGTTGTGAGCGTTAAATTTTTTCTTTTTAAGAAAGTCGAACAACATTTGCAAGAGGATGTACCTTGGTGTATGCTTTTTGTTGATGATATTCTTCTTGTTGATAAGACTAGAGAGGGAGTTGAAGGTAAACTTGAACTATGGAGGTCAACCTTAGAGTCTAAAGATTTTTGCTTGAATAGATCTAAAACTAAATATATGGAGTGTAATTTTAGTAACAATAGACTTAGTGAGGGGATTGTGACTTTGGGCGATCAAGTCATTAATAAGACTACATATTTTAGATATCTTGGATCTATTGTTCAGAGTGATAGTGAAATAGATGGGGATATTACCAGCAGAATTCAAGTTGAATGGTTGATGCGAAGGAATGCATTGGGCTTGTCGTGCGATAGAAAAGTCCCCCTCAAACTTAAGGGAAAATTATATAAGATGGTGTTGAGACCTACAATGCTTTATGGTGTCGAATGTTATCCATTAAAAGAGAAGCATAATACTAAGTTAAGTAATGCAGAGATGAGGATGCTTAGGTGGATGAGTGGCTTTACCTTTAGAGATAGGATACAAAATAAGCATATACGTGAAAAGGTTGAAGTAGCTCCAGTGGAAGATAAGATTAGAGAGAGTCGACTTAGATGGTTTGGTCACATTAAACGGAGGCCTTCTGATGACCCGGTTAGGAAAGTTGATATATTAAATTTGACTTATGTTAAGAAAGGTAGAGTTAGACCTAAAAAGACTTTGTTAGAAAATATTACAAATGATCTTTCTTAATTAGATTTAAATGAGAATTTGACTTTTAATAAGACACAATGGAGAAAAAGGATTCATGTAACCGACCTCACATAGTGGGACAAAGGCTTGATGTTGTTGTTCTTGTTGTAAGAATGGTTACAGCTTTTTGGGGGAAATAACAACAACAACAAAAACATCAAGCCTTTATCCAACAACGTGGGGTCAACTACATGAATCGTTTATCTCTATTGTGTCCTGTTAAGAGTCAAATTCTCATTTAAATCTAATAAAGAAATATCATTCTAATATTTTTTAAGCAAATCTTTTTAAGTTACATTTACATTTTTTAGCATAGGTCAAATCTAATATATCTACTCTATTAATCAGGTCAGCGGAAGTCCGTCGTTTTATGTGACCAAACCATCCAAGGAAACTCTCTATAATCTTATCTACCAATAGAGCTACTCCATCCTTTTCACGTGTATGATCGTTTCGTATTCTATCTCTATGAGTAAAGCCGCTCATCCGCCTAAGCATCCTAATCTCTACAACACTTAATTTAATCTTATGCTTTGCTTTTAATGGACAACATTCTGCACCTTAGGCATAGCAAGTCTCACCACCATCTTATAGAATTCCTATTAAAATTACACTCCATGTATTAGGTTTTAGATCTGCTTGAATCAAAACCTTTAAACTCCAAAGTTGACCTCCATAATTCAAGTTTACCTTCAAAATCCTCTCTAGTCTTATCAACCAGAATAATATCATCAGCAAAACTTATACACCAGGGTACATCCTCATACAAATGTGTAGTAAGAACATTTGTGATTAAAGCAAAAAGATATGGGCTTAAGGCTGATCATTGATGTAATCCAGCTAAAATAGGAAAATACTTCGTCAAACCACCTTGTGTTTGAGCACAACTAACATATCCTACATACAGATCCTTAATGACTTGAATATAAGCATTATTAATCCTTTCTTTTCTAGAACTCTCCATAGCACTTCTCTGGAACTTTATCATATGATTTCCCTAAATCAATAAATATCATATGTAGAACAGAACTTTCAGATCTTATCTGGATCAATTTGTGATTGTGTTTATTAATGACATTTTAATATATTCCAAGAATGATAAGGATCATACAGATCATTTGAGGATTGTGTTAGAAGTGATGAGACAACATAAATTGTTTGTCAAATATTCAAAATGTGAGTTCTGGTTGTAGAAGATTTCATTTTTGTGACACTTATCAGTAGAGAAGGAATATCAGTAGATCCAGAAAAGATAAAAATAGTAATTGATTGGCCAAGACCAACTAATGTAACAGATGTCAGAAGTTTCTTGGGATTGGCAACTCTGTTTAAAATTGCGCAATAAGAGGCGCGCCTCTGTTCAATTTGGCCCAAATACGCTTTGAGGCTTGCACAATTTTGCCCTTAGTAGAGGTGTATGCCTCAAGCATTGTCAGGCGCGCCTCAAGTGCGCAATTTTTCTTGAGGCGTGCGCCTCAAAGATTGGGTCCCACATTAAGTAAATATGAGATACTCCTCTCCCTTCTACCGATCCAGTCCTTCCCGCATCCTTCCCGTGACCTGCACCTCCCGATCCCGGAAGGAGCTCCAGGCCGATCCCGTCTCCGGTGCTTCTTCCGCCGGCACCACCGCTCGCTAGTGAGCCCATTATTTCCGGCCGCCCCTTTACATCCTTTCTTGATTAGTTCTTAGAGTTTTTTTAAAAGTTTAGGGTAAGATTTTTTAACTTATAGGAAAGCTAGGGTTTCAAATTTTGTTATTGTTTTTGTTTAAATTTGCTTTTTCCTTTAAAAAATATGGTTAATGGCAATGAAAAGTCTATTACGTCATTGTGGAGTGACCTTTCTTGGAAATACAATGTACAAGTTGACATAAGCAGCGGTGAGAAGACTTATGTGTATTTTGGTAAATGCAAAACACTTTATTATGTTCTGATTATCATTTTTCTTCTTGAAAACAGTTGAATGGTGGATCCAATTTGGTTATTCCACCTCTGAGTTACAGAGTCTTGCTGTTAGAGTTTTGGGCCTCACTTGTTCTTCTTCTGAGTGTGAGTGAAACTAGAGTACATATAGTCAAGTGCAAACAAAGAAAAGAAATCGGCTTCCAACACTCAGAATGAACTCCCTTGTGTATATTATGCACAACAAGAGGTTAAGAGATAGGACTTTGAGGAATAAGGGGTTGAAGGATGATGACGACTCGTTGGTGTGTGATGATGACGACTCGTTGGTATGTGATGATGTGTCATCTGATAATGAGTGATTCATAGATGATGAGACAGATTTTTCATTATCAGACTTACAGCTAGAGGATCTAAGTGTGGATGTCTTGAGGGGCGAAGCTGATCAAGTGGGCACATCCACTAGTACCACACCACACACATCCACTAGCTCTGCAGCACAACAATCAAATAAAGGTATTCCACAACTTCTTATATGCTATTGCATTATATTTATATCAAGTGAGCAATTAATATAATAATGACCATTCTTATTGAACAGGGAAGAGAAAAGTGAGTCACATTGAAGATGAAGAAGATATGACATTCATAGATACAATTGGAGAAGAATATTCCCTTGAAGACCCATTTAGTGATGGGATATGATTGGATTTTATATGTTCCTTCTAAATTGTACTTTGGAAAATCTGATAGACTATAATTTTGTGGTTTTGTACTTTGGAAAACATGATTTTATTATATCTCTTTTCTTAATTTCTACTAATTCCACTTGTCATTTAGACGTTTTTATTGTATGATAGAATCTTGTTATTATTTACCTGCTAAAATCCTAAAATTCTCATTTACGCAATTCTGCATTCGTGAGGCTTACGCCTCTCCTCATGGATGAAAACCGCCTCGAGGCTTATTTATGCAATTCTAAACCTTGATTGGCAGGTTATTACAGAAGATTTGTTAAAGGCTTTTTCCAAATTGCTTTGCCTTTATCCAAATTAACCAGAAAGGATAGTAAATTTGAATGGACTGATGATTGTGATTAAAGTTTTCAAGAATTGAAACAATGTTTAACAACTACACCAGTATTGACAATTCCTTCTTGAATTGAGGGATTCCAGTTGTTCAGTGATGCTTCTCTAAAAGGGTTGGAGTGTGTGTTGATGCAAAATAAAAAGATAATTGCTTATGCTTCCAAACAGCTTAAGCTACATGAAAAGAATTATCCAACCCATGATCTAGAGTTGGCGGTAATGATATTTGCATTAAAAAATTTAGAGACACTACTTGTATTGGGCAAGATGTAAGATATTTATAGATCATAAGGGTTTTAAATACATTTTCATTTAGAATGAATTAAATTTGAGGCAGGGAAGATGGCTAGAATTGATAAAAGATTATGATCTTGACATTCAGTATTGTCCAGGCAAAGCTAATGTTGTAGTTGATGCCTAAGGTAGAAAGTCCCGAACACAGTTGCATTATATGTTGACTATTGAAGAAAGGTTGATTAGAGAAATGGAAAACTTACAATTGGAAGTCAGAGTGCAAGGAGATCATAATGTTGTTAATCTTCATCATATGTAAGTTCATCCTTCTTTAAAGGAAAGAATTACTGAAGCTCAGAAGGCTAGTATGGAATATCAAAAGTTTAGGGTAAGATTTTTCAAATTATAGGAAAGCTAGGGTTTCAAATTTTTTTATTGTTTTTGTTTTAATTTGCTTTTTTCCTTTAGAAAATATGGTTAATGGCAATGAAAAGTCTATTACGTCATTGCGGAGTGACCTTTCTTGGAAATACAATGTACAAGTTGACATAAGCAGCGGTGAGAAGACTTATGTGTATTTTGGTAAATGCAAAACACTTTATTATGTTCTAATTATCATTTTTCTTCTTAAAAATAGTTGAATGGTGGATCCAATTTGGTGATTCCACCCCTGAGTTATAGAGTTTTGCTGTTAGAGTTTTGGGCCTCACTTGTTCTTCTTCTAGGTGTGAGCGAAACTGGAGTACATATAGTCAAGTGCAAACAAAGAAAAAAAATCGGCTTTCAACACTCAGAATGAACTCCCTTGTGTATATTATGCACAACAAGAGGTTAAGAGATAGGACTTTGAGGAATAAGGGGTTGAAGGATGATGACGACTCGTTGGTGTGTGATGATGTGTCATCTGATAATGAGTGATTCATAGATGATGAGACTGATTTTTCATTATCAGATTTACAGCTAGAGGATCTAAGTGTGGATGTCTTGAGGAGCGAAGCTGATCAAGTGGGCACATCCACTAGTACCACACCACACACATCCACTAGCTCTGCAGCACAACAATCAAATAAAGGTATTCCACAACTTCTTATATGCTATTGCATTATATTTATAACAAGTGAGCAATTAATATAATAATGACCATTCTTATTGAACAGGGAAGAGAAAAGTGAGTCACATTGAAGATGAAAAAGATATGACATTCATAGATACAATTGGAGAAGAATATTCCCTTGAAGACCCATTTAGTGATGGGATATGATTGGATTTTATATGTTCCTTCTAAATTGTACTTTGGAAAATCTGATAGACTATAATTTTGTGGTTTTGTACTTTGGAACATGATTTTATTATATCCATTTTCTTAATTTCTACTAAGTCCACTTGTCATTTAGACGTTTTTATTGTATGATAGAATCTTGTTATTATTTACCTGCTAAAATCCTAAAATTCTCATTTACACAATTCTGCATTCGTGAGGCTTACGCCTCGCCTCATGGATGAAAACCTCCTCGAGGCTTATTTATGCAATTTTAAACCTTGATTGGCAGGTTATTACAGAAGATTTGTTAAAGGCTTTTTCCAAATTGCTTTGCCCTTATTCAAATTAACCAGAAAGGATAGTAAATTCGAATGGACTGATGATTGTGATTAAAATTTTCAAGAATTGAAACAAAGTTTAACAACTACACCAGTATTGACAATTCCTTCTTAAATTGAGGGATTCCAGTTGTTCAGTGATGCTTCTCTAAAAGGGTTGGAGTGTGTGTTGATGCAAAATAAAAAAGATAATTGCTTATGCTTCCAAACAGCTTAAGTCTCATAAAAAGAATTATCCAACCCATAATCTAGAGTTGGCGACAATGGTATTTGCATTAAAAAATTTAGAGACACTACTTGTATTGGGCAAGATGTAAGATATTTACAAATCATAAAGGTTTTAAATACATTTTCATTTAGAATGAATTAAATTTGAGGCATAGAAGATGGCTAGAATTGATAAAAGATTATGATCTTGACATTCAGTATTGTCCAGGCAAAGCTAATGTTGTAGTTGATGCCTAAGGTAGAAAGTCCCGAACACAGTTGCATTATATGTTGACTATTGAAGAAAGGTTGATTAGAGAAATGGAAAACTTACAATTGGAAGTCAGAGTGCAAGGATATCATAATGTTGTTAATCTTCATCAGATGTAAGTTCATCCTTCTTTAAAAGAAAGAATTACTGAAGCTTAGAAGGCTAGTATGGAATATCAAAAGTTATTGGAATAAGGGCAATCAGGAATAAGAAAAGATATTAGCATTGATGATCAAGAAAGAATTAGGAGTAATGGACATTTATGAATACCAAAGGAATCAAATATGGTTCAAGAAATTATGTTTCAAACTCATAATTTAGGTTATTCAATTCATCCAGGAAGCACAAAAATGTATAAGGATTTGAAAACATTATTTTGGTGGCCAGGAATGAAAAGAGATGTGATAAATTATGTGGCTAATTATGAAAAATGTCAAATTGTTAAGGTTGAACATCAAAAACTCAATGGGATGTTACAATCTCTACCAATTCCAGAACGGAAGTGAGAGGAAATAGCTATGATTTTATTACAGGATTTTCCAGGTCAAGGCAAAGACATGATAGTATATGGGTTGTGGTTGACAGACTAATGAAGTCAGCTCATTTTCTACCTATTCGTCAGACTGATTCAGTGGAAAAATTAGCCAAGTTATTTGTGAAAGAAATTATCATATTACAAGGAATCCCTAAAGCTATTGTTTCTGATAGAGATGGAAGATTTACATCTAAATTATGGAAAAGTACACATGAAAGTTTGTGTGCAAGATTGAAGTTCAGTACAGCTTCTCATCCACAGACAAATGGTCAATCAAAAAGACTGATTCAGGTACTGGAAGATTGATGTAGGAAAAGGGGGGGTCAACTCAAACCCAAAATAAGTTGGATTTGACTTCCCTTAAACTTACAAGCTCAATGAAATTTGAGTTGGAATTTAGCTCATTTATGAGCTGGTCTTTAGTTCATTTATTGAACTAAGGGTTAGCTCATTATTAGCTAAGTTTTAGTTCATAGTTATCTTTTAATTAAAGTAATTTTATTATAGTTTTTTATGTCTTAATTTAAGTTGTCCCTTGGGTTTCCAAAATGGCTTTTGGAATCCCAAGGAAGTTTGTTCTCCCATACCGTGGCTCCATGGCTTCCACGGTTAGTTGTTGTTTTCCGTGCATGGCTCCTTGGTTCTCACGGTGGCTGCTGGTTTTCCGAACTGGGGGCCTTCCTGTGGCTTTTGGCGCCTCAGTTCCGTGCGGCCTCTTGGGTTCCCGTGACTGTTTCCTCGGTTCCCTGGCTGGGCTGTTTTTCCGTGAAGCAAGTGGGCTTTTCCATGGCTTGTGTTGTTTGGATTCCTA